TGCGGCCGCCTTCTTTATTAATTCTGTACATGGTTCTGGGTCAACCAGTTTTATACCAGGTTTTGATTATGACTCATGTGGCTTGACACAATTCCCTTCGATGCTTGGTTTTTCCCCTGGCTTTCCTTTCAAACAGCCCCGAGCTGTGGGCTACAGTCGCCCATGCGACCCCATAGACCCTGTGGGTCGGGCGTTCCCTCCAGAGATTTGGATCGAACCGGGTCGGATCCAAATCCACGGGGGCGTCAACGAAGTGCAGAGGTGAAGTCCTAGTGCTCGTTTGAGATCACTTTGGACCATCGGAGGATTTTTTTCCCCATGGATCATGTGCCTACAAAGCGAAGCGTCAGGTAGGGCTTGGGCTTGGATTGTGACTCAGAGTTGCCCTTGGCCACTACCCCTTTGCACCTTGTTTCAAAGGGGCACAAGGAAAGCCACAAGGAAAGCCACAAGGAAAGCCACAAGAAAAAAGCCAACAGTAAAGCCAGGTTTTGGGTCGGTTTTCCCAGATGTATGTTTGGTTGTCCCTGGGCAGATCCCCGATGGGCCAGCTATTTGGCTTCTCCAGCGCTTTGGCTTCGCTTTGGCTGCGCTTCGAGGTCCGGAAGTGCTGCACATCGAGCCGGAGCTGCACAATCCGCATGTGATGAGGCGGGCGTTGGTTTGGCTCGTTGGTGAGCCGGGTGGGTGGTTTGGATTGGTTTCGGATGTGAATTTGAATCTTGTAGAGGGTAAAAAGGGTAACCCTTGATTAGTTGGTGGTTTTGGTGGTTCGGACAGGTTTCGGATGTGAACTCCTTTGAATCTTGTAGAGGGTAAAAAGGGTAACCCTTGGTTAGTTGGTGGTTTTTGTGGTTTGGATAGGTTTCGGATGTGAACTCCTTTGAAGCTTGTAGAGGGTACATGGGTAACCCTTGGTTAGTCTGTGGTTCTGAAGGGAAGTCAGAAGGACAACACCGTTCCCTCCAAAAAGACACCGAATTCGCCATAAGATCAGCAACCCTTAGTTGGTGGTTTGAGTTGGTTTCGGATTTGAACTCCTTGTTCTTGTGGAGGGCAAATGGGAAACCCCAGAACACCAGCAAACCACCAATGCAACCACCAATTGGAAGGAAGCTAATGACAGGATGTTTTGTTCAATCCCAATCCAAGACCGATTCCAAACGGGTCATTTTAGTAGGTACTACCTGGTTTAGGAGGAGTCATAGCAAGGCCTGTATAGCCTTTATTGGCATGGTAGTAGAATTAAAAGTCATTTTTTTGGGCGCTGCTCAAATGGTGTCTGTGGCCCTTTGGCTTGCTGTTTTTCAAAGAGTTTGTGGCCATTTGATGTGAGTCCTCTCAACTAGTTTTACCCTTTGATCTGAGGTTTTGCGTTTTAAAGAGTTTGTCGCCCTTTGACAAAGCGCTCTGTCAAAGGCTTGCCGTTTGGTGTCTTCGGGACTTAACGAGCTACCATAATTTTCTCAGGTCGTCATTTTTGTTTTCGGTGTTCTGGTTGGCGGTTTCCCATGTACCCTCTGCAGGGCTCCTTAAAAGATACATTTGCCCATTTGAAACATGGCTTTTTCCACCAAGATAAGGACCACCATTTACAAGGCAATGTGCAGGTGTATAATGCAAGGATCCCTGCTCTATAACAAGGGTTCAACTCCAAGTCCACACCGGGCTCCAGAGCACCAAGAGGGAAGCTGAAGTTCTCTAAAAGCATGGTACGGGATCAGACCTCCGCTTGGCCCGGGTCCAAGACAAAAAATCCATCTTCCACCTGCGAGGATCGGGCTTCGGCCGGCCACGGCGGGGCACCCGGAGGAAGGGAAGGATGTTCTTTGGCAAGGTGGGCACCTAAAAGCTCGGGTGGTTCCCAGCCATCCGTTTTTTTCGGGCTTTTAGATCTTTTTAGTTGGTTTAGTGGTAGTTTTCGCGAAACCCAACTAAAAGTTAAACCTTTAGCAGGAAAATCTGAGGGCAGCCCAGAAAAGGAGCAGCGTGCGGTTCGGAGATACTGACATAGCAAAGATTTGGCATTGGGGGTTTCTGGAAGATGAGTTTCCTGGAGAACTTTCTTCTGAGAGGGGAGGGTTGGCAAGGAATCAACGGAGCAGGAAGGGCTCCCCGAACGGCACCTGAAGGCTTGGGAGGAAATCGGATGAGCATATGGATTGGTGTCCTTTTGATGGGTCAGTTTGCTTTGAAATAGACGGGGCCCGCTGGTTTGGCTGGGTCTTCTGCCCTATTTACCAGGGAAGCCCATCTATTCTCCAACATTTGGACATGCGCCCGCAATGGAAACGGCGCGGTTTTTTTGGCGCGTCTCGTGGCTGGAACTTCGAGGCCCCCCAATGTCCGCCCCCCCCCCCCCCCCCCCCCCCGATTCGTTTTGTTCGACCGAGAAGCACCCAAATGCAAACGGCCAAGGGCTGGTCTCAAACACCTCCCTGCTATCATGGGGGCTGGGGGGGAGGGAGGGGGAGGGAGCCCAAATAAGCCATTGTTAAGCACTTGTTGGGGTTGCCTCCCCCCCCCCTCCCTCCCCCCCAGCCCCCATGATGGTAGGTGAAGCAAACAGAGGCATCTTCCAAAAAGGGGCTCTGGGAAGCGTGACGTCCAAAGTCCTTGGCTTGTTTTGGTTGACCGTGGGGCTGTTGTTCTCAGCCGATGTTCAACGCCTCAGGATAGGGTGGGTCAGGGTTTGGTAATACGTTTACCCGCTACGAAAGTTACTATCATGAGTGATGGTAGAGCATATTTAGATCCTGGGTGTAGAGTTGAACATTGAACAAGTAGCAGGGACCCCCTTGACCAGATCCCAAGCAAGTCGATGAACTGCCATTGTGGCCTGTGCTCAGGTGAAATAGCTGCGAGAAAAGTGACGTGGAGGGCCGAAGTTTCGAGCTGCCATTGGTACATACGCCAACAAGAATCTGATAATTCAGAATCTGGCACTGGCTTGCTTGTGGATTTGCTGTGGCCAATTGTAGAAACAAGAAGCACGCCCCAAACTCAGACCACGCTTGGACGAAGCTTTCAGGACCCTAGAGTTCAAGTACCAATGGCTGGCCTGTGGCGCCAAGCAGGCTTTGGCGACCCGCACGGATGAGTTCGCAAGCTCATGTGGAGCTCTCTTGGCAATCCAGAGCAGCCTCGCGGCTCGGGAGCCGAACATCGGCCGAGCATTTCTTCCAGCGCAGCGTGCTGGCCCGAATTTTGGGGAGCCCCAAGGTGTTCCTTTGAAGGAAGGGATCAAGGGGTTTATCACCACTTCTGCACCAAAAAGTGTGGTATTTTTTTCGGTGCAGTGGGAATTGCAGAGCCACTGCTTTCGCCAATTCCAGCCCCAAGATTGGGCGAAAGTGGGCGACTTCCCGGAGGGAAGGGCCGGCCGGAGATTCCGAGAGTCCGAATGGAGGAGGGGCTGGGTTGATAGGAGAGGAAAGGATCGGGCTCTTGGATATTTTTTTTTTGGCGGTGATGTTTTTCCATTGCAGCTGTTTTTTGGTTGACATTAGACACCGAAGAGGAGAGTCTTCGGCCGGAACGGCAGCTGTTCGCACCCAGGTGTCAGGGACAGAAGCCAAAGGCTTCGCGTCTCTGGGTTTCAGAGAAACTGAATGACCGTTCGCAATTTGCACCCGGATGGCTTTGTTTTATCAGCTGTCCTATGTGGATAACAACATTTGTTTGACTGGTAGGCACTGATTATCCTTTTGTGGAGCAAACAGACAAGGATGGAATGCCGAGGTGACTCCCTGCGAGCGGAAAAGGTCGGCGTTTATCGTCATCGGTTTCACTTTGAGTTGGACTTTGATCTTCTTATCTAGGTTCCTGCAATTTGCATCATAGGGCCCAAGCTGTTCAAACTTTGTTGGCCAGTCAAGGGCGGGGTAAACCTTGCATTGGACCAACAGTTCATGGGTAGGTGTGCGCTCGCAGCTTCCATCGAGATCAAGAAGTCACGCAATCGATGACCTTAGGTCCCAAGCCCGGCAAGGATTTGTTTGGGAACGCAACTTGCTGGTGGACGAAAAGACCTTGGACCAAACCGTTTTGGTCCAGCAAATGCGCAAAGCAAACCAAGAAAAGGAAGACGCTGAGCGTTGCGAAACGTTTCGCCTTGCGGATTGACGCAAGAGGCATCGCAGTCTCGGAACCCAAAGCCGCCCACCGCCACCCGCTGATTCCGAGAGGGGGTGTGGTCAGCTCGGCTTGGAGCCGAGAGGCGTGGATTTTTTGGGGTTGAGAGAGGCGATTTGTTTCTTGGTGTCCAGGTGGGTGCTGATTCTGAGGTAGCCCTTGGTTTGGAGCCCGGTGGTTAGGATTGTGGATTTGAACCCCTGGCTTTTGTAGAGGGTAAATGGGAAGCCACCCCAGAGCACCACCAAACTACCGATCCAAACCACCAATCAGAGGGAAGCTGAGATTCTTCTCCACTTGGGTTGTCAAAATTGGCGGCCTGATTTGGCATCCGTTTTAAAAAGGCGAGGGGCCACAAAGGGGCCATGCTAGCGGTACTTGAAGTTTGCTGCCGAGTGGCCCTGGACTCTTGTGGATCCTTGAGATAGTTGGATTTTCCGAGAGCCACGTTACAGGAAGTGCGGCGAAGCAGAGGGTCTAAGGTCCCTACAGGGTCACCTTTTCTTTTTTCTGCGGTTTTTTGGGATGTCATGGGCCCCTTGGTTCGGGAAACCAGATCTGGTTGATGCCTGAGCATGTTTGAGCACTAGCAACCCCTAGTAGCACGCCCCTCCAAGCTTGCTGTTTGCAGCCAGCTGAGAAAAGTTCTGAACCCGGTGAGGGAACTCTGGGTCAAAAGTCCTGACCATGGCATACCCTTTTTGGGGCCCAGGTGGGGCAAATCCAACCGCCCAAATTTTCAGGGCCTCTCCGATTTGGAGATGCAGTCTGCCTCCTTGCAAGGCCAGGCGAAGCTGGGCATGTCGGCCCTCGACTGGTTTGGCCCCCATGCACCCGCCTCAGACTGAGCAGCACGAGCCTGAAACAGGTGCCTCAAAAAAAAACCAACGGTTTGTTTGCATTTTTGTGTTTTTGGTTGGGGGGACGTTTGAAGTCCTTCAAAAAGGAGCAAAAAAGACATGGCAGCCTTTGGTCAAAAGAGTTGCGACCCTTTCCTTTTGAGCGCAACCCTCGCACCTTGGCGACATTTTACATCTTTACCCTTTACTGAATTGATGATCTTCAATCCTGGATTAAGGTCAGGGGACCCCCAAGCGGGCTACAATAGACGTGTTCCGATCGCTGGCACCCAAGCGCAATCATGCGTGTAGCATCCAGCATTTGGGGAGGTTTTTTTTCAGGATAGCCTTTTGGGGCGCCCATTAGAGGGTACCACTATCGTGACACCTATCTTGAGACACACCCACATACCCATTTGGCTGTGGCTCAAAATGAAACAGCTCGCGCAGGGTTTAGCCTTTGTCTGCATAGGTGCCCCTTTCTGGGTATTCCGAATTCCATTTTTTGCGCCTAGCCATGTGGTCCGTTTTGAGTATTCCATGTTGATTCCCCATTCTTAACCATCGTTCTTTCCAAAATCCAGCTGTTTCCCCTGAGGATCTGATGGTTTTCTGGAAAGATTCGGATCCTTGGAAAGAATGGGGAAGTGCCACCTGAAGCCACCTGAAGCCACCTGAAGCCACCTGAAGCCACCTGAAGCCACCTGAAGCCACCTGAAGTCATCTAGAGTATTCCAACTTGTTTGAGCCCAGCCCAGGTCCCATTTCGGGTCACCAAGCCGCACTTTGGGGCCTCAGGTGGGCCCCGGCGCGGCCGTCTCGGCCTACCGCAGCGCGCCGCCGGGAAGCCCAGCGAGGGCCGAATGGCTTCACAACATGGAGCCCAAGCTTTCCTCACTGTTGTTGGGGCGTTTTTTTTTTTTTTTTGGTGGTATATGAGGTTTCATGGCTGGTTCTGTGCATTTTTTGGGAGGGGGGGGGGGGGCAAAAAAACAGGGGTTGGAAAGCAAAAAAACCTGGTTTTCCGCCGGGAAGCCCAGCGAGGGCCGAATGGCTTCACAACATGGAGCCCAAGCTTTCCTCACTGTTGTTGGGGCGTTTTTTTTTTTTTTTTGGTGGTATATGAGGTTTCATGGCTGGTTCTGTGCATTTTTTGGGAGGGGGGGGGGGGGCAAAAAACCAGGGGTTGGAAAGCAACATACCCTGGTTTGCATAGGAAACTCCTTTGCGGGGGACCCCGCTTTTGGTTCCCATGTTAATTTGTAGGGACAGAGAACAAAAGAAATGGCAGCGACCCCAAACACAACCAGAACAACCAATACGCAAAACACAGCGAACACGACAAAAGACACCACAGCATCGCTGGAAAAGAGTTGGACAACATGTTCTACATTTCGTGGGGGAAGCCAGCATATGAACGGCCGGTGGCAATTTCAATCGTGAAAGAGTGCTGTGAATTTCATGTTAGACCTAGGCATCCAGTTAAGTCCTTTGTCAGCTCAAGGGCTGAAGGGGTCTGGTGAAACGCAGAGCAACCCTTCCTTCCCTTCCAAGATATTGCAGTTGAACCCAGCAGAGGCAAACATTTATTGTTTCTGCTATGCGCGTTCACTTGAGGAGAGTCTGGTTGAACGTCCAGTCCGTTTAGGGTGAGCTTGGGAGCGTCACGGGGGACTGACTTGACGTTTTCCCACGAGGACCGGAACCTGCCCCGTGAACTCGGAATATGCCTAGCTCATGGCAAGGGATGGCGCCACAGAGAAGGGAGATGGCCGTTCGGCGCGAAAGAAACACATCCAAGACGTCCATCTGGCGGCGCTCCCAGTATTTTTTTTCAGGGAGAAGCGAAAACGCGGCGTCGCCACCTGGAACCTGGAGTGATTGAACCATGGCGCGAAGGCGGCACAAGTATCCAACCACGGGCACCCCCAAGATGGCTCGCCTTTTTTGCGCTGAGTGTTTGGGCGTGCAGGTGGATCATTTGCATTCATCAATGGGTTATGGATGCAAAAGATCCAGTGGACCAGGTCTCAAGGGACCAGCCTCACTTTTCGATTGGAAGAATAGCTCCAAGGCAGGTTCCAAGAAGGGAGGGCGTTGGGGCTAAACCGCAATCACGGAGGCCCAAGGGCATGACGAACCCGCCGCAGAATCCGCAGGCGGTCGGGGCGGTTGAAGGGAGTTCTGTTGGTCTTTTCCTGGAATATCCAAGAGGAGTACATCCGAGGAGGGTTCACCTCCCTTTTGGACGCAGGAGGCGGCGCCCCAAGAAGGAAACTCAGCGATGACCACTAAAAAAGGAAGCGTCAACAAAGTCAGCTGTATCTCCGGAGGATTGCCACTTTTGGACCCCTGGTAGATATGGTCACCAAGGAATTATTATGAGTTTTGATCGTGCCTTCAAGCTGGTACGCTTGGGTTCGCAGTATTCATGCTTCGTTCGAGTGTTCGAGCGTCACTCACTGAGCCAATGCCACTTAAACCCTCCAAAAAGGACAGACCCAAGGTAGTGCGTGTTAAACAAGAAGGACAGACCCAAGTAGGACGCGTCAAAGAAGACAGAATGGTGCTGGAAAACACCTCAGAGTGAGTTGGAGAAGGCGCATAGGTGTCCTTTTGTTCGCTTAGTTCGGTCAGAAATGGATGGGTTCCACTGGGAGAGATGGGTTTTATTTGCCCCATCTACCAGGGAAGCCCATTGATGTTTCCAAAAAGATCACCTATGGCAAGCCGATTTAGCAGGCTGACGCCTGATTCCGCCGACCCCCAAGACTTTTTTTCCTGGACTGTTATTGCCAGCGTACCTCGCATTCCCAGCATCATCAGCGGTGATGCCGGTGATGTCAAAAGCTGCCTTGTGAGAAGGCTTCAGCAACATCATCAGCATCATCAGCATCATCATCATCATCGTCATCATCATCATCATCATCATCATCTCATCGTCATCGTCATCGTCATCGTCATCACCTTCACCATCAGCATCATCATCATTGGCATCA